GTCAAGATGTCAGAAATTTGATTTCTATGCTGCTAGGCAAATCCAGCTGGTTAACACCTGTCGAGGTGGTAGAAATTTTATTTCTATGCTGCTTGGCAACCCCAGCGGCAGCAAAAGTACTATTAGTGCCGCTCGTACTTTTACTGTCGCTTAACCATCCAGTTACCCCCGAGCTTACCCCATTCGTTTGGAGAAAAAATAGCGTGTTGCATACGGAGTAGAAGCACTTTTTTGTGCTTCAGCAGTATTGCAAGCCTCACTACGTTCGGCTCGCAAACCTACTGCTTCAGCACAAAAAAGTAAAGCTTCTACTCCTAATACAACAATATACTATTATTTGCAATCATATATGTAATCTTGTCTTTACTGACTTTTTAAAAATTTGGAAATGACACTTTACTTGTGTCACTTCCCTCTTCGATTTCCCTCACCGATTTCCTTATTCGACTTCCCTCACCGATTTCCCTCACTTTAATTTATTTACCTTTGCTGGCAACAATGAGAACATGTCAGGTAAAAACGTCAAAGCAGTGAATGACACATTTTGGCATGTTTGTTTTATATTTTTATTTGCAACCATATATGTAATCTTGACATTACTGGTTTTTAAAAAATTTGGAAGTGTCACTTTACCTGTGTCACTTCCCTCCTCGATTTCCCTCACCGATTTCCCTCACTGTAATTTATTTACCTTTGCTGGCAACAATGAGAACATGTCAGGTAAAAATGTCAAAACAGTGAATGGCAGATTTTGGCATGTTTGTTTTATTTTTTTATTATTAAAAAAATTAAATGACTAATCATAATTAATGGTGTGCTTGCAAATAAAATAGTATACAAACCTCGGAGGAAAGTTTTCATTTCTGTCTCGAGATTAATAGTCAATCTCGACGCTTCGCGTCTCGATTGACTATATAAATCTCTCGACAGTAATGAAACACTTCCCTACTCGGTATGTAATATACTATTAACATTAAAAAAAATGACTAATCGTAATTAATGGTGTGCTTGCAAATAAAATGGCATACAAACCTCGGAGGAAAGTTTTCATTTCTGTCTCGAGATCAATAGTCAATCTCGACGCTTCGCGTCTCGATTGACATTACTCGACAGTGATGAAACACTTCCCTACTCGGTATGTAATATACTATTACTGTTCTTGGAAATTTGCCTGTTTATTTTGAATGCTGGAAGCTAGAGGACACCAAATTGGTTGATCCATAGTTCATTCTTGGTTCTTGGTCTGTGTGGAAGAAGGTAGAAAGTCAAAATTTCAAAAAAAGCAAATATTTAGTAAATATAATCAAGTCCTCTCTCTCAAACAGACGTATATTGACTCCGAAGGGGAAAGTGGTTTCTATGACATGCGGGGTGCCGTAGGGCTCCATAATGGGACCGACACTATGGAATCTCTTCTATAATCAAATACTCAACACGGATACAGAAAAAGGACTAAATCTAGTTGCATACGCAGACGACCTAGCCATCATAGTAACGGGAGCAGTCACGCAAATCAGAAAAACTGGACGAAATGGGCATAAAGGTGGCTACTGCACGCGACGGAGATGGCAATGATGGCAGGAAGGAGGAAGATCACGGAACTAGCTCTTAGAATACAAGATACACAGGCTGAAACGACGAAAAGTACAGATACCTCGGAGTTTACATGGATAAGGATCTGAGAATGACTGGTCACGTAATAAAGATTGCAGAGAAACCTGTAAAAATTACAACGTATGTATGATGGACAGATAGGATAGGAAGTGAGGTGGCCTGAACTGTGATACAGGTGCTCACGGGCCATGGCGTTTTTAAAGAAGATTGAAAAGCAGGAGACGGATAAGTGTTGGTGATGTGGGGGCTGCAACTCCCCAGAACATACACTGTTCAAGTGTGAAAGATTCGCGAAACACAGAGAGCGGACTTATCGAGAGTGAAACTGTAGAGTCATATTAGAAAATTCAGGAGAGCTGATGCTGAGCCAAGAGCGTATCCAGGGGGGCAAGTGGGGTACAGCTACCCCTCTTTTTGGCCAAAATTTAAAAAAAAAATCTACCAGACAATGGAATGCAAATGGATTATCAGTTTGTAAATAAATAGAAAAAGTGAGCTTAATTGTAAGAAATGCAAGTTAGAAAGTAATAAAAGATGACATGCGCGCGCAACTCGTAGGTTCAGTGTAGCCAGATTGTATTGTTGCAGAACAAATGTAGACAATGCAAATCGAGCATTATATCATTAAAGAAGTGATATAGTGTAAAGTGTTTTACAACGCCTCAAATCAGACAAAAGAAGCGCTTGAAAAGTGCATGTTAACATCGTTTGCACTTTTATTGCAAATTGCAAAGGAATATGTCAAGTATAATCTAACATAACCTTAAACGACACTGCGGTGAGTTTAAGTAATATGTAAAGTATTAGTTTGCTCTTTGTCGAATTACACGTTACAAAGAAAAAAGGAACTATTCATTCTGAACTGGCCCCTGAATAAGAATATGACGCAAGTCTGTAACAAACTTGCTTCTCATTGGACGCTCACCTGCAGCCTACAAGCGACGCGCGCAGTCCAGGTAATAGGAGATCGGTCTATTACGGTTCTCATGTCGGTTGGAACAGAGCTATTATTTTAATTTATCACGATTTCATAAAGCTTTGTGAAATTTTTACAGTTTGGAATAAATATTAAAAATCATTGTTAAGAATTTATTTTGAGCCGCCCCTGCCGCCTTCACTCTCTTGACTGGCGAAAGCTCTACAGTGACTCAATAAACTTTTAGAGACAGTGGCGACAATCGAGGTCCCGCCCCCATATTCTTTCTAGTTGTAAATAGGATTCTAGAAGTTAGGGCTGAGGAGCACTATTAGTGAACAGGTTAGCTATGCTTAGCATTCATCGTCAGTGGGTGTTTGAAGACGAGGAGCAATTGGTGGAAGATGTAGTTAAGAAGTTTGCAAACAATCCACGTAAACTGTCATTCAAAAATAAGTTGTTTTTTTTTCAATAAAAGGTATGTCTCTTTTGTTGTTGTGTATTATTTTACGCATCCTCCCCCTGTCCTTAAGAAAGTTATCAAAACGTAGCATCATAAACGATGGAATTCAGAAAGCCCTTGTGCTGAGCAGCAATCGTTGCTGGGATGCTGTGGCGGGCATGTTCCTGGACATCATGAAAGAAAAAGAAAGTGAGGAAAGGAGGAGACAAATGAATGAAGAATGAAGAAGAGAACTGGATACAGAAATCCGAAGCAATACTGCTCCGGATATGGGAGGATTTTTAGTGGGTAGTGGATCTCTCAGAACAACGGTGAGAATCTGAGTCCCACACATGTTTGCAGATGACATTACAATTTTGCAAACCGGAATACGAAAACATCCTGTGTGAATCTATGCAGACCGCTTTGAAACTGGTAGAAAGCTGGTAGAAAACTCACTGAGTGTCAATCCAGCAAAAACCGAGCTAGTGCTGTTGACCAAAAAGAGGAAGCTGGTCAATTCGGGCCTCTCAAAAGAGAACGAATATTTGAGAAAGTGGATAGTGCCTTTAACTGAAATAAGCACCTAGGTGAAAAGACCATAGGCAAACGTTGCGGATTATCTCCCAGGATTGTTCTGTGGCTTTTACCGCCATAATTCGACCTATGTTCATATATGGGGACCAGAACCAAGCAAATAGTAGCAAGAAACAAAATGCAACAGCTACAAGGGTTAGCATGTCTGGCAATCACAGGGGGAATGAGGACTACACCAGTAATGGCCTTGCAAGTGTTGCTGCGACTGCTGCCTCTAGATGTATATCTAAGAGGTGAGGCAGAAAGAACGGCAGCCAGACTGTACTTCACTGGACTGCGGTGTGGAAGAAGCGGGGGTCCAGGGCATACCTAAGTGTTTAAGGAGGCTCTGGAACGACAACCACTGCTAGAACACCGGACGGATGCAATGATCCCACGTTTTATCTTCAACAAGGTCTTTAAGGTGAAACTAAGCGGCTCAATAGAACCAGGTATGAGAGCAGATATACATATCTGCACGGATGGCTCAAAAAACCCCTCCGGAACTGGGCTAGGTGTGTATTGTATATACCTGAACTCGACCTAGAAATACGTAAAGCTTCAGGCAGGAACGTGTCAGTTTTCCAGATAGATCCGCTTGGAATAATGCAGGGAGCTGTACAAAAACAGGAAATGAGGATTATGGGAAAAACCATCATCTGCAAGTCTTAAATAAGGTGAAAGTAATACCTAAATTAATCGTTGAGTGCCACCAGACATTAGAGACGATCACGCAAGAGAATACAGTCATGGAGTTGTGGATTAAAAAAGCCACAGTGGCAATCAGGGAAACGAAAGAGAGATACACTGGCGCGCACTGGCGCAAAAAAAAAATCAATCGGATCTGAGCCTTTTGTGCCGTTGACTAGCAAACCTGTAAACCTAGAAGTCAAAGATTACATTTACAGGATTCTTAGTGAAAGATGGGCGAGACAGGAATTCAGGCACTCGTGTGTAGCTATCCGCGGACACCAAGCTGAACTGGCAGAATATCTTCTGCAACTGTCTCGCGGAACAGCCTAAGGAACTAGGGGTAGGCACTGCATGTTAAATAAGCACTTTCATACTCTGAGATTGATAAACAACCCAACCTGAGGGTGCAATGAGGACGACGAAATGGCAGAACACGTTCTGTGTTCTCGTGAACACAAGAGAGTCTATTATTGGGTAATCCGTTGCTACAATATTGATCTATATCAATACTGTCGGCTAGTTTAACGAGGAATACTCTTACGGAGGCTACAATGAGCCCAGTAAAGACGCCTAAGTACAAGGCGACGTAAGTAACCCTTCCAAATCTCTATCTAATCTAAAAGCCAGCAACAAAAAATCGCCAAAAATCAGTAAAATTGAGTAACGATAACAATGACATCATATATCAGATAGAGGACAAATATATAAGTACTGCAAGATTAAACTAATTATTAATGAGAGAATTCTCAAAACTCTTACCTTAAACTAGTAGGATCATCCAGTAGATGCGGAAGAAAATGATAGGAACTGGGCATTCTGAGCATGACGGGCGGATTAACACCTTGCGCCGCAGCCATGCCGGACATGTTTTTAATCATTTGCTTAATTTCCGGTCGGAGTTCGAGAAAAGCGGAAGTTATAAACGAGGTATTGTCCCCGGAGCTCGGAGGCATGGAAAGCAAGTCGATGTGTTCGGAGAGTTTCCGTAGGTCCTCTTGCCTCGACCGGTAGATCGAATCCAGATATTGGAGTTTTACTTGGAGTTCGGCGATACGTTGGACCAGAATTTGTTCGGAGGTTACATCTGAAACAAAAAAAAAAACAATTTAGATGAAAATCAGAACTTTTTTTGGGATATAAATATTCAATATTTTGTCTATTCTGTTTACAATTTTTGAGTTTAAAAAGTAAAAATTTAATGGTCGCTGATGATGCTTTATTTATTTCTTTTTGCATCAGATAGGTACTTTAAGAGCAAGTGACCAAATTTTCAAACTGAATTAGGTAGTAGAAAAAATAAAGAAACAAGAATAAAGATCTAACAAAAAAAAAATCATGAAACACTTTCATACAGAACTATTTTGTCCTATCCTATAACGCTATACATTTTTTAATGTAGAAAACTTTAGGTTGAATTAATCCTATTCATAATTCCAAGCTAAAGATGGAAAATATAACTTCGAAATTTAGGTCGAGGAAGATTAAACGAAAACTTGTTTCAAAAGAAAAGTAAATCTGCCCACATTAAAATAAATTAGTTTAAAATACATAAATGTTACATAACGTAAAAAGTTTTGTTTTCATTTAATTAAATTCGCGTATTTAACAAAAGCCGAGTTTCTAAACTGCACAAAGCAAAGCTGGAAATTTTACATGATAAATTTAATTTACTTTTTTTGTGCAGCGACAAATTTTCCATCCGCCGGGATGTTTTGTTAAATTTTTTATTTGTTTCATAAAAAAATTTCATCAACTATGCTGATGAAAATATGTTTTAAAAGATACATTATAAGCTCACATGCGAAAGTTTTCCATGTGGAAACTCCTCCCCAAACTTTCTAATAGATTATCAGGGGCCCCGCAAAAAACAACGCCAGTCATACCTCGACTTCGAAACTCTATTAAACTTTAAAACTGATTTATAACTGCCGCCGGGCCCAAAAACTCTGAACACTAGACATGAAAAATCGGATTAATTAAAGTTTGATTGACATTGGATTTTTTTTTTGCGATAGGTACTCCATGAAATCCATCCACCGCCCTAAAATACACTTGACTTATTTATGTGCCCTGAACACCCCTTTATATGCATGGCGGTAAATTTAAAATTGATACCCTGTTATCTGTTCTTCCACGGCCCCTTTCACTTCTATGTATATAATTTATCAGACTTTACGCAGCAAAAATTTTTGATTGATTTTGCGGTATATAACAAATTATACATTGTAGAGATGAAATTCTGCTCAATAGATCAAGTTTTACCACATAGGTACATTAAATTTCGTATAGGTAGGTACACCTAAGTAAAAAAGGTGAAACTCACGCAGGTTGTAAAAAAATACAATGTAAGTACTAAAAAGATATGCACTTAACTTCATTTATAAATTTGTTACTTTAGAGTTTTGTTCTTGGTGATTGTATCCGCTCGACTTCATTATTTATTATTTATTTTATTAAATTTATCCGAAGTGTACTTTTTCTCTATATTAGGATTTCCAGAACATTAAGTTTTTACTCATTATATTGTCAGTCACTTATTCTTTTCAGATACTTCATCAGATCCTCCATTTTTACGATTTCTTCGTTCTTCCTCGTCTATCGCTCTATATCCATATCTTGATAACGCTTTCCTTTTTTCTATGATTTGTTGTACCTTATGTAAAAGTGCCATCCATGTATGAACGTCCCGCACGAAAGCCATTCTGCTCTTCTGTATGTCTGGAAATTCCATTTCAATTCTTCTTTTTAAAATACGGCTGTACAACCTTCCCAAAGAACTAGTCACTTATTCCTTTATAGTTACCATAACTTATTCGATCTCCTTTTTTGTGGATGAAACTATGTGTGAGATATTCCAGTCTGCAGGTATAGTGACCATCTAAGTAACAGATCGTTGTATATATCTGCTAGAATTTCCATCATGATCTCTGGCGCACATTTTACTAGCTTGATAGGAATGTTTCCTAACCCCGGGCAATTTCCATCTTCCATATGATTCACTTCCTCTTCACCAGTCTCCCCTTTTTTGAACTGTTCCCTTTCCTCTGCCAGCAGCTTCTTGTAGTTTTCAGCCTATTCTCTCATAGATATTGTAACGCTGGTACATACGCCAGGGTGTTGAGAATCCAACCTAATATCTAGATGATACCAATTCATTCAGAAAAAAGGAAAATCGCGTTTATTCTGGATTTCACACGAATAGATATAAATGCCGGTATTAGTTAATAGTTTTTAAGTTTAAGATTGGCTGTGATACTTTTCAGATAGTGATTATTGTTTGAGTTAATTGGTGAAGTAATTAGTGTCAGAGTATATAGTAACGTGGAATAAATTATTGCTGTGTTAATTGGACTTTGATTTTGGAATAAACGGACCCAAGATTTCTGTTACGACTGTCACGCATCCAAGAGCCGAAAATTTGGTGTCAGAAGTGAGATATAATATGAGGAGGACTGCAACGTGAAATCCGATTCAAATCAAATCAAATAATAAGCTTTATTGTCCAAAAAAAAAGGATACATTTTTATTGACTAAGCAAAGACTTAAGCCTACACTCTTGAAACATAAAACTACAGTATACATGCTAAAATTGTTCAGTATTTTCTCTCATAAAAAAAAGTTGATGAACCTCACTAAACAAACACATGCATAAATTCAGTCCAGAATCAGTAAAATTACAAAGTTTTCTACATTTATGCACGAGCGGGCGGTAAGTTGAACTTACCGCCCGCTATTTTCGTGTCATCAAACACTCTCGAATATTGGTGGAGGCCACTAGTTCAATTTAATCCGTGTTGTCAACTATGGAAATAGAAATAAAACAAGAATTATAATTTATTATGCACCTCAACAACTATAGTACATAGGTTTAATATTAATAGAATTTAAATATTATTATTTTTTGTTAACATACAAATTAAATATACAGTTATGTGAATTATCTATCACAACACCCCCTTTTCTTATGTGCTTATCAAGAACAACCGTATTTTCTGTATCATTTATCAGAGAAACAGGATGAGGTTCATCGTTTAGTTGTCTGGATGTTGTTTGGATCGAAGTCTTACCACTTGTTGAAGGAGTTTGGTGTAAAATTTGGTCTGCGAATTTCAATTTGCTCTCTATGGAGTCCTCGATATAACCCTCGGCAACCGTCGAGGATTTCCAACCTCCATGTCTTTTGAGAGCTAATACTTCTACGCCGCTATTTGCAAGAAGCGTCGCAGAAGTTCTGCGAAAAGCATGTCCAGTGTATTGAGAAGGATTTTGCAAATTTAAAAATGTGGCAATTTGTGCTGGCCATTTTCCTATGGTATTCTTTCCTACAACTTGATTAGTGCAAAAGCCGTTTCGAATTTTTAAGAATAACTTGTTTGATTTTGCGGTTTTTTGTCGTAGTTCGATATATTTCCTACAAATCTCCAAATAATCCACTCGCTGGTCTTCTTTACCAGTGATGGTGAAACTCCTTTGAATATTGGTTTTTGTATTGGGTATTTTAACAAAAATGAACGTTTCCTGATTATCTATGTCTTGTAAAGTCAAATTACATAATTCCTCCCTTCTGCATGCTCCAGCTACACCAAATATCATGCCTATCTACGAAAAAACAACAAATTAATTCTTTGCATTGTTAAAAACACAGGTAAATTAACTCACTTTCAAAATCAAGTATCTATCATCTGGTGCCTCCATTAGAAACCTGTATAAATCCTCCTTTGTGAAAACTTTAGATTTTTTCGGTGTATGGCCAACGTTTTTTCTTTTCAGAAAGGCAATTAAAGTTGCGTATTTCGAAATGTCAACATTTTCCTTCAGAAAAAGTGTCGCCTTCAGCATGGAATACTCAGCCCATAAGCTTCCAGGTGATTTTAACTTCTGATTTCGGTGTACAAAGTATGCCAAAAGCACTTTCTCCGAAACAGCCCAGTTTTTGTCAACGCACCACTTCTTAAAGATTTCAAAGGTTTTTTCGTACCGTTGCCTTGATTTTTCCGGAATCACAGCGTCACAACCAATATTCCAAGCATTTTCCAGTTCACTATCACTATTTTCACTCATATTTCTCCTTAAATTTCAAAAAAGCGTATTTGCAGCTTGCAACCGTATTGTTTGAAAGCGAGTTTTGCGTAACTAACACAAATAAACAATTTGAGAAGCACCATAACAACCATACCAACCATTAGAAACAAGTAGTCCAGCCAACTATAATAATAATAATAATTGTTATAGATAATGTGCGGTGGTGGATAACCATGGAAATAAGAGTTGTGATTTTTGGAAGCGTTGCAAATACAAAAGTTGCCAATTTTTCATTGGGAACGCGCCTTTATAGGAGGAAGACAATTCTATTTTTGAAAATGTCAATTGGATGCCATTCTATAAATTAAGTTTTTGAACTGGAATAGCCCGATCGTGCATAAAACGTAATAAGTATTTTGGGCGTTAAGTGTCGTTAACCGCCCTCGAATATTGAAGACCTCCGCTACGCGTCGGTCTTCAAACAATCTCGGGCGGTAAACGACACTTACCGCCCTTAATACTTAAATAACTATTAGACCTAAAAAACCTAAATCCCACTCAAGTAATGCATAAAGCACTTCTCTCATAAAATTCACTTACACTATAGAAGGCTTTGGTGGTTAGATGCTGTTTGACACACAAACGAAATGCTTTATAATTAGAACATTCTTTAATTTGTTGCGGTAAATGATTGTACACTTTAATACTTTCATAAATGACTGAATTTTTCGTATGTGTAATTTCAGGGATTGGTAAGGGTACATTATTTTGTCGGAGGTTATAGTTACTCGTCTGAACAGAACCGGTATTCTTTTTATAGATAAGGCTCACCGATTCCAAAATAAAAAAAGATGGCACAGTAATTATTCCCTCCTGTACGAATAACGGTCTTCATGATTCTGTGCATCTTTTCTTGCACAAGTAACGAACAGCCCTCTTCTGAAGAACGAATGCTGCCTGGAGTGATTTTTTAGCGGAGTAGCCCCAGAAAGCTATACCATACCTGATATGGAACTCCGTTATAGAAAAATATGCATTTTTTGCATTTGTTTTGCCAAGCTC